ATTTAAAGTGAATAAAGGAAAAAAATGTCAACTGAGGATTATACAATATATGCGGCAAAATATCCTTTAAAACTAATTAAGAATTTAAGACTTCCCAGATAAAAATAAATTGAAAGAGTTCATTACAATTATACTTATCTACTATAGAAAAAAAGTTGTTAAAGACCCCGAATAGCCAAAGATATTCTGAGGGGAAAAAAAAGAATAAAGCTGGAGGTATCATACTACTTAACTTCAAATTATATTACAGAGCTAGGATAATCAAACAGCATGGTATTGGCAGAGAAATAGCATGATATAAGTAGACACACACACCAATGAAACAGAATAGAGAACCCAGCTACAAAATCACATGGATAAGTTCCTAGAATAATCTAATCTTCCTAGTCTAAATCATGAAGAATTAAAAAACCTAAATAGACAGATAATTTTCAACAAAGGAGCCAGAAACACACAATGGAGTAAAGATAATCTCTTCAATAAATGGTGCTGAGAAAACTGGAAATCCATATGCAAAAGAATAAAACTGGATTATAGTTTGTCCCTATGTACAAAATTTAATTTAAACTGGATAAAATATAATACCTGAATATAATATAATACCTGAATATAATACCTGAAACAAGAAGCTATATGAAAGAAAATATAGGTACCAAACTTATGGACCTTAGTCACAGAACATTTTATGAATTTGACCCCAAAAGCAAGGGAAATAAAGACAAAAAATTAAATGTTATTATATCAAACCAAAAAGCTCTGCACAGCAAAGGAAACTGACAATAAACCAAAAGGAACTGTTTGACATTGAAATTGGGACTCAGAAGAACTGTTGGCCCAAAAAGAAACTCACTATAAACTGATTCATTTGCCTCTCAGCATAACCATTATGGCTTGTCTCATTTTCAGTTCTTATAAGGGTATTACTAGTATCACATGATTTCACGCATCTAGGGGAAATAATGAACAACATAAATTGATTAATAAAAACAGAATATCCAGTCACTATAACATGCACTGCAGCGGCCAACTGGTCAGATCAGGGCCCCGGTTGTCCCCACTCACAACTTCCTGTGCCCCCTCCTCCCATCTTGCCCCACCCCTGCCCATGATTACCCACCCCAAATCCTGATCGGGGGCAGGGCCAGCCCGCCAACTTCCCACATCCCCTCCCCGCCAACACCTGTCCTGATTGGTTCCAATGGGGTGGGCTGGCCGGACCCCAACCATGTACAAATTCGAGCACTGAGTCTCTAGTTTTAAATATGAGTGGTGAGAATGGAATCCTTGTCTTGTTCCTGATCTTAGAGGAAAAACTTTCAGTTTTTCACCATTGAGTATATTAGTTGAGGGTTTGTCATACATGGCCTTTATTATGATGAGACACTTTCCTTCTATTACTATTTTTTTGAGTGTTTTAAACATAAATGTATGTTGTATCTTATCAAATGCTTTTTCTGCATTTACACATAATATTATATGATCTATAGCCTTTCTTTTGTTAATGTGGTGTATTATATCAATTGATTTGCATATTTTGAAATGTCCTTGTGCTACTGGAAAGAACCCACTTGATTGTGACATATTATCTTTTTTATGTACTCTTATATTCGATTTCCTAATATTTTATTTAGGATTTTTGCATTTGTATTACTCAGATACTGAGCTGTAATTTTCTTTCTTTGTGTTATCTTTGCCAGGTTTTGGTATGAGGGTTATATTTATTTTTTTGATCCATTTTACCTTTTGTTTTATGGTAGCTCTGTGTCTCCACTGGTTCTTTTTCTTTTTCTTTTTTTCTGTCTGTTGTTTTGATTTGGTGGTATTTCATATTTCTTTCTTCTCTTTTTTCCCCCTAAGCTATATGTCCTGGTTTGTGGATTTTGTGTGTAGTTACCATTAGATTTATGAAAAATAAAGTTGCATATATCTTTTAGCTTTTTAAAAATGCATCATACCTATATCTTCCTTTGCCAGTTCAGACCTTTACCTTCTCCCCTTTTATGTTTTTATTGTAATTAATTATAACTGCATATGCTGTAAGTTTTTAATATATATTTTATTGCTTTTTACAGAAAGGAAGAGAGAATGATAGTGAGTTAGAAATACCCATGAGAGAGAAACATTGATCAACTGCCTCCTGCACACCCCCTACTGGGAAGTGCCCACAACCAAGGTGCATGCCTTTGACCAGAATCAAACCTGGGACCCTTCAGTCTGCAGGATGATGCTCTATCCACTGAGCCAATCCAGTTAAGGCAATGCTGTAAGTTTTTTTGGTGATCTTAGTTGTAGTGTTGTGACCTTATGTTCTTTGCTTCAGGTAGAATAACTCCCAGGAGTATTCCTGCAATGGAGGTTTTTAGGTGATAAAAATCCCCTAGCTTCTATATGTGTGAGAATATCTTTATTTCTTCTTCATAATTAAAGAATAACTTTGTTAGATATATTATTTATGGCTGGTAGTTTATCTTATTTAGAGGTTTGAATATTTGGTTATACTCTCTTCTGGCTTGTAGAGTTTTTGCTGACATCTCAGATGAAATTCTGGTGGGTTTTCCTTTGTAAGTCACTTTTTTCTTTTCCCTGGGTGCTTTAAGAATTTTTTTCTTTGTCATTAATTTTTTAAACATTTTTATTGATTTCAGAGAGGATGGGAGGAGAGAGAGGTAGACACATCAATTATGAGAATCATTGATTGGCTGCCTCCCGCATTCTCCCTACTGAAGATCTAGTTGCAACCCAGGCATGTGCCCTGATCAAGAATCAAACCATGACCTTCTGGTTCTTAGGTTGACACTCAATCACCAATCTATGCTGGCTGGGCCTTGTAATTAGTTTTTGACAGCTTTAATACCTAGTGCCTTGGAGAGGGCCTCTTTGGATTGAGGTAACTCAATATTCTGTTTTCTTTTTGGATTCTTGCATATAACTATTTTCAGAGGTTTAAGAAATTCCCATCCACTATTTGTTTGGTTAGACTCTCCATTCTATGCTCCTTCTCCTCCTCCAGAATGCCTATAATTCTAATATTGATTTTTCTGATGGAGTCAGTTCTTGTAGAGCTCTTTTACTTTTTTAAAAAAATATATTTTATTGATATTTTACAGAGAGGAGGAAGGGAGAGAGATAGAGAGCTAGAAATGTCGATGAGAGAGAAACAGCGACCAGCTGCCTCTTGCACACCCCCTAACGGGGATGTGCCGCAACCAATGTACATGGCCCTGACCAGAATCGAACCTGGGACCTTTTATTAATTAATTAATTAATTAATTAATTAATTAATTAAATTTTTAATTCTTTTTTATTATTAAATTATTATCTGTGTACATATTTTAACATTGCTCCCCCTCCCATACATGCCCTCCCTCCCCAGAGTTTTGTGTCCATTGGTTGTACTTATATGCATGTATACAAGTCCTTTGGTTGATCTCTTATCTCCCCCAGATCTCCCTACCCTCCAGGCTGTAATTTGACAGTCTGCTTGTTGCTTTACTGTGTTTATATCTGACTTTTGGTTCATCAGTTTATAATGTTCTTTAATATCCATAAATGAGTGAGGTCACGAACCCGGGACCTTTTAGTCTGCAGACTGACGCTCTACCACTGAGCCAAACCGGTTTCGTCTTCACTTTTTTTTATGTTCAGATCTCTCTCTTCTTCCCTCTGCATCATTTCTAGATTCTAATCTTGATATCACTAATTTTTTCATCCATCTGGTTAGCTGATTTCTATGCTAAGTAGTTCACTCCTTTTTAAATATATATTTTTATTTATTTCAGAGAGGAAGAGAGAGAGAGATAGAAACATCAATGATAAGAAATAATCATTGATCAGCTTTCTACTGTATGCCCCACAGTAGGGATCAAGCTCTAAACTGGGCACATGCCTTGACTGAGAATTGAATCATTACTTCTTGGTCTTTAGGTCAATTTCAATTCCTGGGCAATGCCAGCTGGGCTGCAGTTCACTCTTAATCTTTTTAATTGCACGACTCATTTCCAGGTTTTCTGATTGTTTATTTTTTTAAAGTTTCAATCTCTTTGAGAAAGTACTCATTTTGTTCACTGATTTGTTTTATGAGTGAATTTTCTAACTGTATTTTCTCACAGCTAGTTGAGTATTTTCAGAACTGCAATCTTAAATCTGTCATTTATATCATATATTCCTGTGTGTTTCAGTTTGCTTTCTGGAAATTTTTATAAGAACAAGAATGAGACAAACAATAGTGGTTATGCTAAGAGTCAGATGTAAGCAGATCCAGTGAAAGGGATTAAATTATTGCATGTCCTTTTAAATTTGTTGCCAGGCATCTAAGGAACTAGTTTGTAAGTTTGCCTGGGATAACTAGACAATATGCTGTTGTAATTCTAAAATATCAAAGGTTGTGTTACCTTTACCCCAAACACCAAGAAGGTGATTTTTAAAAACTATATTTTATTGATTTTTTACAGAGAGGGAGAGAGAGGAATAGAGAGTTAGAAACATTGATGAGAGAGAATCATCAATCAGCTGCCTCTTGCACACCCCCGACTGGGGATGTGCCCTCAACCAAGGTACATGCCCTTGACCGGAATCGAACCCGGGACCCTTCAGTCCGCAGGCTGACGCTCTATCCACTGAGCCAAACCGGTTTTGGCGGTGATTTTTTTTATTTTATTGATTCCCAAAAGTATAAGGTACTCTTATAGGGAATGGGGTTAACACAAATCTGAGAAAAATTATATTGACACTGTAAGGACATTCTTTGCTCTAAACTATGAATTTTATAGCCCACCTATAGAACTGTAGATTTTAATGTCAATAATTTTATCTTATATTGGCTGTCAATTCTTTTTTGTATGGACAAGGTTGTAGTTACATTTTCCTTAACTTGCTGTACAAACTGAGAAGTTTGAACAGTTCTACTGTGGATGAAGCAGCAATTCCTACAGAAGTAAGTAACAGTACTAGAGCAAAGAGTCCTGCAATTAAAAGTCCAAAAAAATCTTTTTTTTGATTTAAGATTTTTACCAGTTCATGTAACAGTTAGTAGGTGTTATGAGATTCCCAAGGGTCAGTTAGGTTAGTAGAAACCCAAGCAAAAGCAGGTTGTTTTAAAATCATGAGGGAACTTTTTTAGAATGTAGAGTTAATACAATGGGAGAGTGTGCAGCCTGTGCATGACACCGCATACATATGGCTTTTTGCATTAAGGCACATCTGGATGGGGCCTGAAAGGAGTACAAAAAGATCAAATACACAAACGGTGGCAAATACTGTTTTGTTGGGCATTCCTCATAAGGTAATAATGGAGTTATTTAAGCTATAGTTAAAACTATACCATTTTATAGGTGCAAGTGCAGCAGCTAATTTCCATCATGTGTTTTGTAGGGACCAATTATCATGTAATTGGGATCCAACAAATCCTTCTCCATACCATGAGATGGAGTGATTAGCTTCAACATATAGTTAGAGTTAGGATGTGGTCCCCTTCCGCTTTAGAATGCAGTTACTACTATATGCAGACCCGTAGGTGCTCTAATCCACAAAGGAAAAACTGTCATTAAGTTTGCTGCTGGTGGGGTAGTCATTATAGCAGTCTTGCCAATTGATTTCTTCCTCTGAGGGTTGCCATTCATAAAACTTTTTACATAATGGCTTAGCGGGAGGATGACTTAGTAATGTTCCATTTTCTGTACCTTTCTTAGGAGCAATTATTGATAGTAGATGTATTTGGACTTTTGCTTCCCTCTCCTTTGGTGTCCTTGCTAACCAGAAACCTCTTTTTAATTCTACACACAAAGGAGCAGCAGTTAGATTCTGTGTCATACAAAAGGGAAGCTGGGTGGCAACACCCATGTAATTACATTTCACCCATATACTTCCTTGACCCACCTGTGGTGCCCTTGGATGACCAAGGTGCTTGGTATCATTGGTGACTATACTAGGCAGGGAATGAGCCTAAGCAAGGGTTCTCACTCATGGAGGGTCAGGAACATAATTCCAATATGCTTCCCCATTTGCCCCTAGAAGTATTACCGCATAACTGATGGTTGCTAGCATGGCAGGGAAAACATTTTTGGGTGTTCTTGGGGTTTTTGTCTCCTCACAAATTGGCTCAGATTTCTGGACTGACTTCTTCACCATCACCCAGGTCATCTCCAGACTGTTTGGCATCTGTCTCAGTCTCCTCCCATTCCATTTCTTCAGCGTGTTGCTTGGGGCTACTACTTTTTGGTGCTGGAGTAGCTGTCTGTCTGCAGGGTGAGGATCCAGCTGCAAGGCCCTCATTAGTCTGGTCAATTCCTCTTTCATATCCATGTTAAAGTTTAATGTTCCTTGCAGGAATCCACATGGACTTGGAGGAGTTTTCTGGAAACACACAAGCATATCCTCAACCAAATGTTAACAAACGGTCGGGAACTTGCCATAAACTAGACTCAGGATCTTTCCTTTAACCAAACCATTTTCCTTTGGTTTATTCCTACACCTTCTTCCATAGGTGTCTTGCCATCAGCTTTATAAGTGAAAAAATTTAAAGTAATTAAGGCTTCATGTAGTCTATCTACAGGAGATTTCTCTAACATCACTATTCCCCCTTTTTGTTTTTCAAGTTGGAATTTTAGCCACTGATGTTGGTGTTCTATAATAGCCTATCCTTGGGAATTGTATGGTATTCCTGTATGTGTTGAATTTTCCATTTTGTACAAAATTGCTGGAAATGACAGCTTCTATATGCAGGTCCATTATCAGTTTTAATAATTTTTGGAATTTCCATGATGGAAAAAGCAGCTAGGTAATGATTAATGACCTGTTTTTCAATTTCTCCTGTAGATTCTGTGGCTCATAGCACCCTTGAAAAGGTATCTACAGAGACATACAGTGCCTCAAGGCATCCAAAAGGAGTATAGTGTGTTACATTCGTTTGCCAGATATGGTCTTTTATCAACTTCAAGGGTTAATTCCTATATTAGGCCCTTGAGGCAGATGTAACAGGCAAGTGGGACATTCTTTGATAATCTATTTTTCCTGCTGTCCAGTGATTGCGAATTGTTTAGATAACATTTTGGCAGGCTGATGTAAAAGCTTATGAAATTCTGTGGCCTGTTTTAATAAAGCAGCCAATTGATCAGCATGTGCATTTCCTTTTGTTAAAGGACCAGGCAGGGTGGTATGAACCCTGATATGAGTAATATAAAAGGGATATTGTCTTTTCTGTACAATATACTGTACCTGTTTAAATAATATAGACTTTGTCACTGAGCCATTTTAATTGAGCAGTCTCAATTCTATTTACCAGGTCAGCAGCATAGAAAGAATCAGAAATAATATTAAGAGGCTCCTGAAAATCCTGTAGTGCAGCTTGAGAGCTTCTAATTCAATCCTTTGTATAGAAGTGTGACTAGTCTGGATGCCTAGGTCTGAATTTATTGTATGATAAGCAGCTTTGTTATTAGAGGAGCTATCAGTAAAAAACAAACAAACAAAAAACAGTTAAGGCTCCAAGAATAGGCTCCTGTGTAGTATTTTTTTTTTGGTATAAATAATAGGGGTGAAATATAAAAATTGTAGTGAATTGTTTTTTAGTAGGTGACAATAAAGTTTCTCAAAATATTCACTTCTTTCAATTTCCCAATTTAAATTGGTCTTGAAATAAGTTTTTTTAAAATCTATGTTTAAATTTTATTTCACATTATCTTGGACAAATCATTACTTTTATGAAAACATAACAGGTAGAGTGACTATCCAAGAATCAGTGTGTCTAGTGTCAATCACATTGCCTTCAGAGTTAAATTATATACTTACTAGTGTTTCCATTTTTCAAATGCCTTGCTGTGTTAGAAAGCATTCTTTTTTAATTTTACATATATATATATTATTAAATTATTATCTGTGTACATATTTTAACATTGCCCCCCCATATATACCCTCGCTCCCCAGAGTTTTGTGTCCATTGGTTGTACTTATATGCATGTATACAAGTCCTTCGGTTGACCTCTTATCTCCCCCAGATCTCCCTACCCTCCAGGCTGTAATTTGACACTCTGCTTGTTGCTTTACTGTCTCTAAATCTATCTTTTGGTTCATCAGTTTATAATGTTCTTTATTATCCATAAATGAGTGAGGTCATGTGGTATTTCTCTTTCATTGACTGGCTTATTTCACACAGCATGTTGTTCTCCAAATCTATCCAGGTTGCTGCAAATGATGAAAATTCCTTCTTTTTAATGGCAGCATAGTATTCCATTGTGTAGTGTAGATGTACCATAGTTTTTGGATCCAATCATCTGCTGACAGGCACCTAGGCTGTTTCCAAATTCTAGCTATTGTAGATTGTGCTGCTATGAACATAGGGGTGCATATATCCTTTCTGATTGGTGTTTTTATAGTTTCTTGGGACATATTCCTAGGAGTGGGATTACTGGCTCAAATGGGAGTTCCATTTTCAGTTTTTTGAGGAAACTCCATACTGTTCTCCACAGTCTGCATTCCCACCAGCAGTGCACAAGGGTTCCTTTTTCTCCACAACCTCACCAACACTTGTCGTTTGTTGATTTGTTGATGTTGGCTATTCTGACAAGTGTGTACCTCTTGGCCTTCCTTCTGTCTTCTATTACAAATATTCTATTTAGGTCCATTGCCCATTTTTTAACTGGATCATTCATTTTCCTTTTATTTAGTTGTATAAGCTGTCTATAGATGTTGGAGATTAAACTTTATCAGTGATAATAACATTTGCAAATATGTTCTCCCATACAGTGGGCTTTTTTATTGTTTTGTTGATGGTTTCTTTTGCTGTAAAAAAGCTTTTTATTTTGATATAGTCCCATTTGTTTATTTTCTCTTTGGCTTCCATTTCCCTAGGGGCAGTATCAGTGAAGAAGTTCTTTTGGCATATGTCTGAGATTTTGCTGCCTGTGGATGCCTCTAGTATTTTTATGGTTTCTCATCTTATGTTTAAGTCCTGAATCCATTTTAAGTTTATTTTTGTGTATGGTGTAAGTTGGTGATCTAGTTTCATTCTTTTGCATGTATCTGTCCAATTTCCCAACCCCATTTATTGAAGAGACTGTCTTGACTCCATTGTACATTTGTGCCTCCTCTGTGAAATATTAATTGAGCATAGTGATTTGGGTTGATATCTGGGTTCTCAATTCTATTCCATTGATCTATATGTCTGTTCTTGTGCCAATACCAGGCTGTTTTGAGAATAGTGGCTTTGTAATACAGCTTGAAGTCTGGTATTGAGATCCCTCCTACTTTACTCTTCTTTCTCAGGATTGCTGTGGCTATTTGAGGTCTTTTATTGTTCCAAATGAACTTTTGGAGAGTTCTTTCTAGGTCAGTGAAACATGCTGTTGGTATTTTAATGGGGAGTGCATTGAACCTATATATTGCTTTAGGAAGTATGGGCATTTTGATGATGTTGATTCTACCAATCCATGAACATGGTATGTTCTTCCATCTGTTTACATCTTCCTCTATCTCTTTTTTCAGTGTCGTGTAGTTTTCCGTGTACAGGTCCTTACTTCCTTAGTTAAGTTTATTCCTAGGTATCTTAATTTTTTTGGTGCAATGGTAAATGGAATTGCCTTTTTAGTCTCTGTTTCTGTAAGTTTACTGTTGGTGTATAGAAATGCCATAGATTTCTTGGCATTAATTTTGTATCCTGCTACATTGCCAAATTCATTTATTAAGTCAATTAGTTTTTTTAATGGAGTCTGTTGTTTTTTTAATGTACAATATCATATCATCTGCAAATAAGGATGATTTTACTTCTTTTCCAATTTGTATGCCTTTTATTTCCTCTTCTTGTCTAATTGCAATGGCTAGTATTTCCAGTACTATGTCAAACAGGAGTGGCGAGAGTAGGCATCCCTGTCTTGTTCCTGTTCTTAGAGGGAATGGTTTTAGTTTTTGCCCATTCAGTATGATGTTGGCTGTGGGTTTATCATATATAGCTTTTATTATGTTGAGGTATGACCCTTCTATTTCCACCTTGTTGAGAGTTTTTATCAGGAAAGGGTGTTGGATTTTATCAAATGCTTTTTCTACATCAATTGATATGATCATATGATTTTTATCTCTCAATTTGTTTATGTGATGTATCACATTTATTGATTTGCAGAT